GAAAGACAGTAATGGGTTCATAGAAGAACTTCTATATATAGAAATAATAATTTGTTATTGTGCAGTTTTGAGTATAATGGGTGTGTCTAAAGAACACATTGATGTGGTTAATCAAATAGAAGATACAAATGATGGGACTATCTCAGTATGCAGAACAAAAACCAGAAGAGTTAAAGTGGCAGGTGCAATGGTAAACCAAAGGAGATTATCAAAACCTGTGAGATGCTCATGCCATCTAAAATATTATAAAAAAGAAAGGTTAGTCACTTTTGCACTATCTATGTGATTAACAGTACTACCAATATTTATTAATTTAGTTACATATTAAACTGTATCAATGTATCAGTATAAGACATAAGTCGATTGATTAATTCTTTGCTAATTTTTTATCATATCCTCTTTTATTTATTTTAATTTATTTAACCCAAATTCTTAAGGCCTCAAAAGTCAAAACATACTTTTTTGCTTTGTTATTAGCTATGCTTCTTCAACAGTATTAAAGAAATATTATTATAATTTTAAAAAATGCACTTCCTTAACTTCAATACCTTCATGTTATGGGAATGATTCCTTTCCAGTACTGGGAGTGTGAGAGGATAGACTTTTAAAAAAAGTTAATTTACAAAAAAGTGAAAAAAATTTGACCATTTTAATTTTAATTTTACCACGTGTCACTAGTGTAGTGATGGAGAGGAGTAAGACTCTCATGTTATATGCTTTAATTGTTTAGGGCAACTTTTACATTAACCTGGTTCAGACTTTTTGCCAACATGTTCAAGTAAGTAATGCTTTATTTGAACTTTTGTAGATCACAAACTACATCAAATGATGAAGTTCTCATCTCTTCAATCCCATGGCATTCCATCTTCATATTTTTGGATCCATTACTCATTGGTGTTATCCAAGTTGAGTATCAAAACAAGAAGGAATCACCCTTTGATAGTTACCCTATTCAGATGAAAACATTCTTGATTTCCATCTGCATCTACTGTACTGTATTTGGAGTCATGATTCATAAAACACGAACTCGTGGTAGCTACCAAACTCAGATTCTGAGCTTTGTTCTTCTACTATCTGGGTCACTTTCTTCTGCATCCCTACTTTCCATCTTATTTCAACAACCACTCTTGTGGGTTATGCTCATCACATGGGGACTTGTGCCAATAACATTCTGTGGTTTCTTGAGCAAAAGTTCACTGTCTTGGATATTAGGAACGGGGGCGAAATTTACTTGGAATGTTATCGATTTCATGTTTGCAACCATGATCTCTATGTTCAATCGTAAGGTATCAACCAGTGGCAGCAGCAATGCTTACCAAACTGATAGAGTTTAAGGTATTTAAGCTTTTTGTGTTGATAGTGTGTAAGTAAGATATACATTTATTTAGTTTTATCATCTTTATTATTTAATTAAATAGATTATATGATATGGTTCTTGATTACAAATTAAAGTAGTGTTATCTATACTTCTATACTATTAATCTATACTATTAATAAACACAAAACACAAAATAATTATTCAATATGTTGTAATTAAAGATTTCCTATTTTTGCTTCCCCTATATTCTATTTTATACTAAAAAATCATATAACTCAATGCAAATTATAATATATTCAAATGTAATTATAATATATCTAACACAATTCATTTATTACATGTAGAACACACGTTACAAAGAATAGGAAAACAGGTTGACGGGTACGGCACTGCCAGTCAACATGCTAGTTATAATAGAGATTATTATAATAATGTGAAACATTTTTTTATAATTTTTATTTTAAATTGTTCTTAATCATAGAATCATTGAGAATAAGACATCAATGACTTAGATAGATTAATATATGTGTGATGGTACTTATTGAATAAATATTGATAGATCTCATTTATTAAATTGCACATATAGATGATGCATATGTAGATATCATGCATTGACTCAAGTGAGAATTTCTAATCATTAAAATTACCTTAAATTGTCACTAGGAAATTCTCAAAAAGAAAAATGAAATGATTTACTTCTACTTGAGATTATCATGATAATTAACATGTTATTTTTATTATACTTTAATTTCGGACATATAATGTCTAAGGCCGTTATTAGAATGAATATTGGTATGATAAAATGCTTGTGGAGAATTATTATTAATCAAGAAGGGATTCATTAACGCTTCATAATGATTTTGAGCTCTACACTAAAATAAGACATTCGCCATAATATTAAGATAAAGAATAAATTACATTCATACCCTATGAGTTTTAGTGAAATTATATAAAGCATCCCTCCCTTTTTGTTCTTACACGAATCACCCCTCTCTCCTACATGAATTACCCCTAATTTTGTATATATATTACACTAACTACTCCTGCATGATATATAAGTAAGTGTAGTATTTTAAACAAAAAAGTGTGGAGTGTGTAATTAAGTTAAACAAAATATTGTATATTATGTAGAAAATTAAAATAATATAATAGTCAATGCATCTTTATTATTTGGTTCGTTGCAAAATAGTATAAGAGTTATTTAAACATCTCATTTGAGTTATTAATATATTTTATAATGAAAACAAAAATAATAAAGAGACACAAATTTTTGTACTGTTTGGCATCGTCTACCCAATATAAAATATTTTTTTAAACTTAATTACATTTACTACACGTTTTTTGTTTAAAAGATTACACTTATATCTAGGGGTAGTCAGTGTAATGTATGTACAAAATTATGAGTGATCACATAAGAGGCAGTGGTGGTTCATGTAACGACAAAAAAAATGAGGGGTGATTATGTAATTTCACTAAAAGTCAATGGTGTAATTGTAATTTAGTCTCCTAAGATAAATAAAGAAATAAGTGTTGAGTCATTATGCAACTTATTAAAAATTGACAATTGTACCTTACCTTAAAGTTAGTCTATGGCCATAAAGTTGAAATGAAATATTTTAATTAATTTTCTAGTGATTCTTGAAAGTAAAAATATATATTGATTCACACTATATGTTCGTTAAAAAGTGTTCTTAAACATCAACCTTGATTAGTAAATTAATTTATTACCATCTTAGTTTGAACTTTTGTGGTCCTACATTAACAAGTATTCCAATCATTATTAAATAATTATATTATTTGATAATTAAATTGGAGAATTTAGTATGGTCAAATAAATAATATTATAAAATATTATTTAATTATATGCTAGTAGTAAGAATTAAATAATAAATAAAATACATTTTATAATTATTTTTTATGTATGGAAAATAAGAGAAGAAATGGTGTATTGATTGATGAAATGGAATTTGGATTCTCCACGTTATTATGGAAGAGTCTATTACTATGTTTTGATTATAACATGTGTTAAAAATAAATCATAGTAATCATAATTTTAATTTATTTCTTAATAAAATAAATTTTAAATTTTATTTTTCTTATAATTCAATACTAGATTCTCAAGTATAAGAGATAAGATGAGTAAATGAATTGCCTTGACCGCTTTAAGCAACAATACCCGAGGACAACAACAATACCTACTTTTAGGAATGACAACGGGGCGGGTCGGGTTTGTACTTACCCAACCCCGAACCCGAAATTCAAAACCCAAATTAAGCGGGGTTAGAAATAACAATATCATCCCCGAACCCGTCGGGTTTCGGGTAACCCGAACCCGAAAAAACTCCGAACCAAAACATATATTTTTATATATATTATATATATATATATAGCTTTTATATATTTATATGTATATGTGTGATATATATATATATATATGACAAATTTATATATATATATATAACTTTTATATATGTATTTATGTGTAATTTTATAATTTTATATATATTAATCGGGTTTGTGGCGGGTTCGGGGTAGGGTATTAACAATACCAAACCTGAACCCGAAATTTGAATCCGGGTAAAACCCGAACCCGAACCCAATCACATCGGGTTTTCCCCGTTAAATTCGGGTTGAGTTCATGCGGATACCCGCAAGTTTGGTTTTCATTGCCATCCCCACCTACTAATGTTTTCACAATTTCATAGAAGTGTGTTCTCAAGAAAAGGAAAAATCTCCATACCTACTTTCTTGATCTTTTATTCGCTGCACACACGTACAAAAGACTTTTGTGATTTAGAGAAGTTATGGTTTTAGAGTATTTTATTTTATGTTTCATTGGTTTAAAACTTGATAGTAAAAATTAGTTTTAGTGTGAATATATTAGTAGAATCTTGATAATTTAAAGAAAAAACATTAAAGATTTACGAACTACATACCCATTTTATATGCAATTTTTTATTATATAATTTAAACACAAATAAATCCAAATTTATTCCATTGTGTATATTAAGAACATGATAAGATAGAGTGAGGGGGATACTATTTCTAAGTCATGGATTTTTCATATTAACATTAAAAAATAGTTGGAAGGGTTGTTCTAAATTTCACTCCACAATTGCAATTAACAATAATATTGTAATTTCAAGAGTCTATGCAATGACAACACAACAATCATAATTATAATTTAAAATGCTTGAAAGTTTGGCACTTCTTAATTTTTTTATATACAGGGTTTATTAACATAAATATGTGAACACCCAATTTTGTCCGGCCTATATAAAAAATATTTAAATTTCAAAACTAGCACAATAATTGAAAAATTGCATATTTTCAAAATGTTACGGAACCAATTTTATAGGTCTTGATTTATTGACTTTGAATCATAGTTAATTGTTTGGATTATTAAGGTTTCGTTTTTAACATATAAAAAATATTCAGTTTTCAGTGGTACTATTTTTCAAAATTCTGCAATAATGCGAGGAATTACAAAATGATAATGATATTTTAAAGTTACAAAATAAGCATGGGAAGCACAAAGATTTGAAGGCAAACTAATATCTTCATTTCCTTCATTGAATGGTAATTGAAATGAAAAAATTCTCATTGAATGGTACTAAAATGGATTAAATAGGAAAGAGCCAAAAAGCCACTTCCACTTCAATAGTAAAAAACTTGAGCTTGCACAATGTATCTATTTCCATTTCATCTTCTTGTGGGCTGAAATTGTTTTCATTAAACTCAATGGGCTTGAAGAAGAACCAACTTCATGAAAACTCTTTCTCATCTTTTTTTTTATTCATCTTCCCATCCACCAAACACCTAGTCTTGTTTATATACTCTCACATATTCAATCCAAGATTAACCCACATCCATATACCAACATACACATATCATACCCACATATATTCTTATATAACACAAAAAGGGGTGAGAATAGATATCACTCCACCACACAATCAGAAACACAATAGAGATAAACACCTCTCATATACACAACCATCCAAAAGGAAAATCTCTCATACACAATAAGAGAACAACATACACATACTCAAACACAAGTACCAACAATCCAAAAAGAGAAATCAAGAGGCTACAAATCTATCACATGCGCACAAAATAGACAACCCGCCTCAACTATCTATCTACGCATCAGAACATGTATATCTATAACACTACATATACAAACATTCAGGGGATACTCAAAAGGAGGGCAACCATCATAAAAGAAGACACTGATCAGCCAAAAGGGATGACAATCTATCAATAACTGAAGAACATTACCAGCATAAAAGGTAAAGGATCAGAAGCAACCAACACATGGTTTCAGAACCTTAAATTCAGCTTACTATTCAATACAAGCAGTAACACATTTTTAAACAAGTTGTCAACAAATTAGAGAAAGGGTTCATTACTGAATTCGCCGCCATGTCCCTTGCCATCATATAGCCCCTCGACCATCGTCAAAGAGAATGAGAAAATGGAGTTAGAGGTTTCAACCTCTTTGGCCGTGATTGAGGTAGAGAGGGAGAGAAAGCCATGACCTCTTAGCTTTGACACCTCCACATGTTGTTGTTCCAGAATCGGAGAAGGGAATCACCTTCGTTTTGCTTCCATTGCTACCGTGACCGCCGCCGCTTCTTCCATCCCTACAACCGTTGCCGGAGAAGAAGGAGAGATGAGGGTTAGGGATTTAATCTTCTCCCCTTTCTATTTGTCTTTCCACGTGAAATGAGAAGTAATTGCCTAATGCCTTCTTTTTTATTTTTGGTTTTTTTTTCCATTTAATTCATTCATTCATTATAATATTATTTGCGTTAATAATTATGTCATCCTATGAAAATAAAGGTTTATTACACTACTCACATTCCTTTTGTTAATTATTAAACTATGAATTGGATTTATCATTGCTTTATTATTTATGTGTAGAATGTATAAAATGTTATTAGCTAAAAATGAATTTTAAATGGAGTTTGATAGTCCGGTCGACGGTCCGTATCGTTTTTTCCTTTCTGCTTTAAAAGTGAAAAGTAGGTGCACGATCAGTGTTGTCTCTTTACTATCAACTCTAGTTTTATAAAAAAATATTTCTAAAAATCTTTTTCTAAATTAAGTATTCCTTAATGATTTTCAAAAAGAGTTTGATAGTCCGGTCGACGGCCCGTGTCGTTTCTTCCTTTCTGCTTTAAAAGTGGAAAGTTGGTGCACAACCAGTGTTGTCTCTTTACTATCAACTCTAGTTTTATAAAAAAGTATTTCTAAAAATCTTTTTCTAAATTAAGTATTCCATAATGATTTTCAAAAAGAGTTTGATAGTCCGGTCGACAGTCCGTGTCGTTTCTTCCTTTCTGCTTTAAAAGTGGAAAGTATGTGCACGACCAGTGTTGTCTCTTTACCATCAACTCTAGTTTTATAAAAAAATACTTCTAAAAATCTTTTTCTAAATTAAGTATTCCTTAATGATTTTCAAAAAGAGTTTGATAGTCCGGTCGACGGCCCGTGTCGTTTCTTCCTTTCTGCTTTAAAACTGGAAAGTCTGTGCATGACCAGTGTTGTCTCTTTACTATCAACTCTAGTTTTATAAAAAAAGTACTTCTAAAAATCTTTTTCTAAATTAAGTATTCCTTAATGATTTTCAAAAAGAGTTTGATAGTCCGGTCGACAGCCCGTGTCGTTTCTTCCTCTCTGCTTTAAAAGTGGAAAGTATGTGCACGACCAGTGTTGTCTCTTTACCATCAACTCTAGTTTTATAAAAAAAATACTTCTAAAAATCTTTTTCTAAATTAAGTATTCCTTAATGATTTTCAAAAAGAGTTTGATAGTCCGGTCAACGGCCCGTGTCGTTTCTTCCTTTCTGCTTTAAAACTGGAAAGTTTGTGCATGACCAGTGTTGTCTCTTTACTATCAACTCTAGTTTTATAAAAAAAGTACTTCTAAAAATCTTTTTCTAAATTAAGTATTCCTTAATGATTTTCAAAAAGAGTTTGATAGTCCGGTCGACAGCCCGTGTCGTTTCTTCCTCTCTGCTTTAAAAGTGGAAAGTCTGTGCACGACCAGTGTTGTCTCTTTACTATCAACCCTAGTTTTATAAAAAAGTACTTCTAAAAATCTTTTTCTAAATTAAGTATTTCTTAATGATTTTCAAAAAGAGTTTGATAGTCCGGTCGACGACCCATATCGTTTCTTCCTTTCTGCTTTAAAAGTGGAAAGTCGGTGCACGGTCAGTGTTGTCTCTTTACTATCAACTCTAGTTTTATAAAAAAGTACTTCTAAAAATCTTCTTCTAAATTAAGCGTTCCTTAATGATTTTCAAAAAGAGTTTGATAGTCCGATCGATGGCCCGTGACGTTTCTTCCTTTCTGCTTTAAAAGTGGAAAGTCGGTGCACGGCCAATGTTGTCTCTTTACTATTAATCATTATTTCATAAAATTATATTATTATCTCTACGATGAGTGTTACAATTTTAATCGAACCAAATTTATCAAACAAATTTTATCAAACCAATCAACTTTCGAACCAGAACTACGTAGCATTGATTTCCCTATTATACCTAGGGATACGTAGGAGCAAGATGAACTTTTGTCAAGCACAACAATAAAAAATAAAACATTTTGTTTTTATTTACTAAATTCTAATAAATAATTTTAAGGGTATAAAAGTCCATGTAATTAGCGAGGGTACCGTTTTAATACAGACGGATGAGGTGTTAATACCTTCCTCGATCCGTAATTGACTCCCGAGCTCAGAATCTCTGATTAAAGACCAAATTATCCTAATTGGGCATATTTAGAGTTTTGTACGTTTTATCCGCAAAAAACGTAGTGGCGACTCCAAAAAAAATGGAACATGTTGAAATCGAGTTCGCCTCTCCATAAGTCGCAGGGCCGGTCTTTCAATCAAAAATCGGGTCGCGATAAAATCTATCTCATATCATGAAAGAATATATTGAAGATGTCTACCAAAAATATTCAATGAAAAAAGACTTTTATTTTGAAGGCTGTAATTGACTTTATTACAAATTAAAAACAACAAAATTATTTCTTCTTCTCTCTCCCAACAAGCAAAAAAAAATCATTAATTTGAGTATAGGTCTTCTATCCATTATTTTTTTTATATTTCTATATTAAACAAATGAAATCATGCCAACAAATAAAATTATGTTAATAAAATTTTTTATCATTTATCAAAAAACAATAACTACTATTAGTTGGCATGATTACATTGATTTAATATAAAGAGATAGAAAAATTGTGGTATAGAAGATTTGGTTTCTCTCATCCTCATTCTCACTCTCATCTTCTCCAATTCTCAATCACTTTCATAGTTGAAAAACAATATAAACCAATACATTGATTGATGTGGTGTGACACTAATCACATGCCTTTTCGGCTAATCTATTTCTCTATAACCGATAAAACCACACTTGAAGTTGTTTGTCAAGGACCGGTGATAATCACAAATAAAGATCAGTTGAATTACTTTTTATTTTAATCTTTATCTCAGACACAATGCTGATTTTTGTTACTTTTTATTTTTATATTTTATCCATATAGTAGCATTGCGATAGCCTGAGATAGGGTTGGGACAAATAATGGGACATGTGATGTGTGCCCAATAATCACATGCCTTTCTAATGCATATTTCTGATATTTCCATAGTTTTGAAAACCGTGCCGTACCGGCCGGTTCAACCGGAAAACCGGTGAACCGGACCCCTAACCGGTACGGTACGTATGTTATACCGCATATGCAATAGAACCGGTCAAAACCGGTTGAAAACCGGTGAAAACCGGTAAACCGGTGAAAACCGGTAAACCGGTTGGTTTGTACATTAATTTTTTTTTTTTTTTAAATTTCAAATTTTCAATTCTTCACCAATTCTTCAACTTCAATGATTGATACTTGGGTCATTTATTTGTATTTTGCGTTTGTTAAGTGATAATTTTGGATAAATATATGTTTTGTACTTTAGACTTTGATTTTATTAAAGACTTAATGTTGTTTGTTTGTGTGAATTTGAAGTAAATTATGAATATGGATTATAAATATGAATATCTACTTATTTGAAATTTTTTGTTATAGGTTTACATATATATATATAAGCAAGTATGTCCGGTTTAACCGGCATGCGGTTTAATTACTGAACCACTGGTTGAACCACTGTACCACTATACCAGTACCCTAACCGGTTTGATAACCGGTATGGTTTTAATAACATTGGATATTTCCATTTGAAATTTATTTACGAAAATAGAGATTGTCCTGATGGTTTGTTTATAAGCACTATGGCTTCTTTCAGAGAGTTGCATCCCTGTCTACAACTTCCCTACTGTTTACATATATCTCACTGAACCATTATGAGAGTCACAGAGAAGGGAAACTGGTAGGATTTTTCGGGTTGGGAGAGAGAATGAAGGATAATTCTTTTGTTTTTAATTAACAGAGGTAATTACATCGACACTCTCTGATTCCTTGAGTTTTAGTGAAATTATACAAACCACTCTTTTCTTTTTTTGTCCTTACACGAGCTATCCCTCCATCTCTTACACGATTTGCCCATAACTTTATATATATATTACACTGACTACCCATAATAAGATATAAATGTAATATTTTAAACAAAAAAATGTGTGCTGAATATAATTAAGTTAAACAAAATATTATATATTGTGTAATAAAAAGACACATTGTTTCGTACTATTTGGATTTGTCTACACAATATACAATATTTGATTTAACTTAATTACATATATCACATGTTTTTTGTTTAAAATATTACATTTATATCTTATCAAGGTTGATCAGTGTAATATATATATATATATAAAATTAGGGGTAATTCATGTAAGGACAAAAAATGAGGAGTGATTTATATAATTTTACTATGATTTCAAGACTGAGAGAGGTAGTTCGTGAAAGAAATAATATGTTGATGTTTTGTGAAAATAATCAATGGGGAAAGAATAAGTACTGAATGAGGGTCTATAACACACTTCCAAATGGGTTACAGGAAAGAGATGTGATAATAATGAAGAGAAAGTGTTGGTGTTAGAGTTGGTTTTAATGAGTATAAGTTGTTTATGCCACTTTTCTATGTATTTTTTATATCATTTTTACGTGCCACTAATTATAAACTCACATTTATGTTTGTTAACTTTTGGTTAGTTATTATGGTGCAACTTTAATTGACGTGTCAATTTGTAATTTGTGACACATAGATGTGACATAGAGAAATGACATAAACAACTTGTGTTCGGTTTTAAGTGTAATAAAATTTGGATAGGAAGGTTAAAAGGAAATCAAAGAGAATGGAATAAATTAAGAATAAAAATCATAAAAATGGAAGATTGGTTTAATAAGTTATAACTAAGGGTCTGTTTGTTTTACCTTAACCTTTAGTAAGTTATAATAACTATAGTTTGTCAAACATATAGCTACAATTGAATTATGAATTTGGTGGCTATTGCAATTGAATCATGAATTTAAGGATATCATTAACTTGAATGTCAATTTTGTTTGTATTTAATTACATTATTAAAGTATTTTTATGAGCACTTGCTTTAGCATAGATGGGATTAAAAATTAAAAAGGGTAATAAGGGAAAGAACATTGATTAGAATCCAAAATAGAAACACATTCATTTGAAATAATAATGACATTTGATTTAGTAATTATTAATAATAAAATTTGATCTGCATGTGTTGGTTTGTATTTTATTTGGAATTTTTTGAAATTAGTTATATTTATAAGTATTATTAACACAAAATATGATTTTTAAATATTAGTAACAAGAAAATCTTTATTTGAAACATAAGGACAATGTATTTTTTTGGACTTACCATGATCAATAATAA